ACACATGTACATACACACATACATGCATACATACATACACACAACTTCAAAATAAATTCTCAACCTGTACTGAAAACAGTTTCTGTGTCTCAGCGCCACCAGCTGGTGAGAGGTGGTGACGTCAGTTTGAACCCCGCCCACTGGAACCGGTACTGAAAGCATAATGGAAACACAACCTGTACCGTACCGAGTAGAGTAGAGCCGTGCTATACCGGTACTACAGGTACTAATGGAAAAGGGGCATAAGTGGACCGGGGGTTTGAGCTGGTGTTGAAAGAAGCGTGCTAATTCTGGTCAACAAACATACATCTTCCTTCATCCATCTTCCCTTTAAACTTCTCCATTCCTTCTCTTAAACTTTTCTATTTGCCAGTAATCTAGATGCCTTCAGAGGTGAATCAGCCTACAGTAATGTTCTGTTGTCTTGTTAGTAAAGCGTGCCAAGTTTTTATTAATCAGAAACAGATCAGCAAATCAATGTGTACATGTCTTGATGTTAAATTTTGATTCTGTTAAATAAATGACCGCATTTATTCTGATGGGTCAAAGATAAAATGGCATCTCATGTCACTGATTAAACAATCCTCACTGTTATCTCGGTCACATGGCAGAAATTTAACTCGAAAAAGAAAGAATCCGTTGTAATTAAATAATTAATATTCTTTGTGCTTGAACTAGCTTTAAGAATAATTAATTAGTAGTGTGTCTACAGCAAAGCTGTCCCTACATCACTACACTGACAATGCTTTCTGGAAGTATTCCTGAGCCCATTCTGTTATTTCCTTGACAGTGGCATTCCTGTTTGAGGTGCAGTGACATTTAAGGGCCCGGAGATCACGAGCATCCAGTAGAGTTTTACGGCCTTGACCCTTACGTACAGCGATTGTTCCAGATTCTCTGAATCTTTTGATGATGTTATGCACGGTTGATGATGATAACTTAAAAGTCTTTGCTATTTTACGTTGGCTAACACCATTCTGGTATTGCTGCACTATCTTTCTGTGCAACAATGGTGGAATTGGTGATCCTCTTACCATCTCGGCTTCTGAGAGACACTGGCACTCTGAGAAGCTCGTTTTATACCCAACCATGTTGTCAATTGACCTAATTAGCGTTCATGGTCTTCCAACTGTTCGTTATATGCTCAATTTCCTTTTTCCAGTCACTTATTGCTACTTGTCCCAACTTTTTGGAGATTTGTTGACACTGTGAAATTTTGAATCAACATATTTTTCCTTTAAAATGTTACATTTACTCAGATTAAACTTTTGATCTGTCATCTATGTTATATTATGAATAAAATATTGGCATTTGCCATGTCCACATCATTGCATTCAGTTTTTATTCACAATTTGTTGTGTCCCAACTTTCTTGGAATCCGGTTTGTATGTATATATATATATCAGTGTTTCCCCTACCATTATTCAAGCGGGACGCCCCGCCCCGTCTACCGAACCCCACCCCCACCCGTCTGCACTGACGTAACGTTAAACTAGCAGGTGTGCTAGTTAAAAAGCTAAAGGCAGCCTCTTCCTTCATGCTGAACCCTCACGCTGAACGCACCTCGCCACTCGAAAACTGTCAGTACAAACAGCGCACGGCTCAGATTTGCGTCTGTCTCGCACCCCGCCGACCCCCTGCCAAAAAAGAAACTACCTGTCGGTTAAGACAGCGCGTGGCTGAGATGTGTGTCTGTCTCTCTCCTCTCACACACCCTGGTCTAAAACTGTAAAACTGTCGGTGCAAACAGCGCGTGGCTGTCCTCTGTGTTCCTAGGACACCTATTGAGGTTTTTAATTTCATGTCGAGTATTCGTGGTGACGTCATTACGCCACCGTTACGTCATCGCGTCACGTGATCCGCACCGGGCGCGGGTTACCAAATGGATTTCTCCAAGCAGACGGATGGAGCAGAGCAGACCCAGTCTTGACAAACAGGTAGAAATGCATCAATAGTCTGGAAATATTTCACTAAAGATGAATCATCTGGTTCATCTACCGTAAGGAATCAGAAAATTAATAAACTTCCTGACTGTTTGGAGCTCGTTGCGAACCTGTGTTACACCATATTTTGAGACCGTAGGGGGCGGTGTTACATGCACTGTTGCAGGTCACAGAATATGGTGTAACACCAGGTCCAATCGACCGAACCAGAACCAGCTTCCTCTGACCTTGTTTCACAAACAAAAAGCAAAAAATATTAATCTCTAAACCTATAAAAAAAAATCTATAAACATATTAACCTCTAAAACTAAACTTAATGGGCATCACAGTTGGCTGTGGTGCGGGGTGGTCGACTCCCCCACTGTTTTTAGTTTCGTTTTTGACGTGCTGCACGTTTCTTCACGTTTGCAGCTTAATAAAAACTAATAGTTAAATTTTTCCTGTGACTTATTTGCTGTATGATAAATGGTAGGTGCATAATATATGCTCCCAATGTTTTGTTGGTCTTTTTTTTGTAAATAATGACCTTTTTTGCGGTTTTATTTATTCATTTATTTTTGTATCTTTAGATCCTATGATGTCATCAAGTACTCAAGTTCTACTCAAATTTTATTATGTCAATGTCGAGTTTAAAAATTATGTAGTCGTTCAACCCCTACTGTCCACAGACTTTCAAGTCTTACAGTCAGAGGAGGTAGCGCCACATTAATAAAACAGCGGCTTATCATATCACTAAAGATACAGTCCTTAACAGGTAAAAGAGTTTTGTACCGTAGTTTGTCTCAGGGAAGGAAGCTTCACAGCTGGAGCTCCAGCACCAAGTTTAACACACGCTTCATGTTCTATAGTGCTGCTTTAAATGGTGAAAAAGGTTCGTTTTCATCGGGACTTATTTTCGGCATTTTTTTGTTACACATCTGACAAATTAAATCTAAACCATCTCCAAATAATAGAGCCATTATTTTTTTCCTGCTCACCAGTTCTGCGACTTGCTCTCCGTCCATTTTTTTTTTTTTTGTGGCTGCTACGTGTCGTCTCTCCACCTGGAGAGAAGCAGGAAGTGTGGTGGGGGGGAGAGAGAGCGTGCGGGTAGGGGCTGAGTTTGGAAGTTTGGAGTGAGTGAGAGGATGGGGGCCATGTGGGAGAAGAAAGAACAGCAGAGCTGGTGGATTTTCAAGTAGAACTATATTGTTTATCCCTGGAGAAATGAGTGATCGTTGGTTGAACCTCAGATCCAGGAGGAACAATGTGGGTTCCGTCCTGGCCGTGGAATACTGGATCAGCTCTTTACCCTCACTAGGATTCTTGAGGGATCATGGGAGTTTGCCTATCCACTCTACATGTGTTTTGTGGACTTGGAGAAGGTATTCGACCGTGTTCCTTGGGGTACACTGTGGGGGGTGCTCCGCAAGTATGGGATTGGAGGCCCGTTGTTACGGGCTGTTCAGTCCCTATACAAGCGGTGCGAGTTTGGTTCACATTGCTGGCAGTAAGTCGGATCCCTTCAGGGTGGGAGTTGGACTCCGCCAGGGCTGACCTTTGTCACAGATTCTGTTCATAACTTTTATGGACAGAATTTCTTGGTGCAGCCAGCTGGCGGAGGGTTTCTTGTTCGGTGACCTCAGGATTCCATCTCTGCTCTTTGCAGATGAAGTGGTCCTGTTGGCGTCATCGTGCTGTGATATTCAGCTCTCACTGGAGCGGTTTGCAGCCAAGTGTGAAGCGGCTGGGATGAGAATCAGCACCTCCAAATCTGAGGCCATGGTCCTCAACCGGAAAAAGGTGGATTGCTCTCTTCAGGTCGAGGGTGAGGTTCTGGCTCAAGTGGAGGAGTTCAAGTATCTCAGGATTTTGTTCACGAGTGAGGGAAGAATGGAGTGTGAGACCAACAGACAGATTGGTGCAGCATCTGCAGTATTGCGGACTCTGTACCGGTCCTTTGTGGTGAGGAGAGAGCTGAGCTGTAGGACAAAGCTCTCTGTTTACCGGTCGGTCTACGTTCCTACCCTCACCTATGGTCATGAGCTCTGGGTAGTGACCGAAAGAATGAGATCGCGGATACAGGCGGTTGAAATGAGTTTTCTCCGCAGGGTAGCTGGACTCTCCCTGAGAGATAGGGTGAGAAGTTCAGTTATTCGGGAGAGACTCGGAGTAGAACCGCTACTCCTCCACGTTGAGAGGAGCCAGTTGAGGTGGTTTGGGCATCTGGTAAGGATGCCCCCTGGGAGCCTCCCTAGAGAGGTGCTTCGGGTATGTCCAACTGGGAGGAGACCCCGGGGAAGACCCAGGACACGCTGGAGAGACTATGTCTCTCGGTTGGCCTGGGAACACCTTGGAATCCTCCCAGAAGAGCTGGAAGAGGTGGCTGTGGAAAGAGATGTCTGGGCCTCCCTGCTCAAGCTGCTGCCCCCGCGACCCGACTTCGGAATAAGCGGAAGATGATGGATGGATGGAACTATATCGTTTATATCGAAATAATGTCAATTTATATCGCAAAAATATATATACCAATATATTAAAAATATCGAGATATGGCCCAGCCCTACTGGTATGTATTTAATTAAAAGTTTTTAAAAATCTTTCTGTGTAAATATCTCATGTGAACACCCACAGCTTATACACAGGTGCGGCTTATATATGTACAAAAACAAATTGTGTTGTTTTTTTTAAGTGTGCATGGCTTATAGTCTGGTGCACTCTTTAGACCGGAAATTATGGTATATATGGTGGTGACCATCTTGAATTTTGTTTTGGCAACTACATTTTCGATAACGACCATTCTTATGCCTAGATGCAGCCACACATCAAAACAGAAGTCGACATATCTAATTTTCAAGTTATACAGCTCACAGGGTTTACGTGTATACGTTTAAGCCATCTTGTATTTTGATGTGGCACCAGAAGCCTTTCTTACGCCTAGATGCAGTGACACGTATAAATGGAAGTTGGTACCTCAATTATTTGTCAAGTGATCATGCTCACAACACAGACGAACAGAGGGAGGATATTTCTAATCCCTCTCTTCACTCCACGATGGAGGACAACAAAATAACTTACTTTTCCTTCCCAGCTAGTCTTGAGGCAAACTTGGTGTACCAGATGGCCACATTGAAGGCCATAGAAGCCAGTTCAAAGACTGCATCCTGCTGGGCACTACGGAGAGATCAAGAAAAGATAGAGATATTTTTCATCATCGAGCAGTAAGACTTCCATTCATTCATGTATCCTGACACTAACAATTACCAGAACATGCCCAACTTTAACCCTAAAACCCTCTGAAACTCAGTAGCTAGTCATGTCTGACAGTGTTTGATTCAGTTATCAGGAAGATGTAGGTAAAGGTTATGGATGTTTATCACCAACTAATGTTAAATTAAGTGTGTGAGGTCAGAGAGTGTTTGTCTGCTCAGAGAGGAGCTGATTTGAGGCTGCATATCCAGTTGGCAGACCGAGGTCCCCTGTGACTGTCTGATGAACATTATAAAAACACTTCCTGCCTCACTGTTTGGTGCAGATTCTCACTGACGAGGCTCTAACATGTCACATTGTACATCTGTGAAAGCGTTCTCATGACCGTCTACCCTTGCAAGTAAAGACTGGTTAACAATCTTCTTGTGTCCTCAGAGTGGCTTATTAGAGTAAATGATTATTTAAGATGATGAAAGGATATTTATTTATCCAACATAAATAAATAAGCCAAACATTCTTAAATTAGGGTACTTCTTCCACTCAAGACATTTTTTAAACAACTTCTGTGCTTTTACAGGGTTTTTCCAGGAACTCTGGGGTGTGCTTTACACTGCTGTTACCAAGGAAATGAAGAACAATTCACCCCCAGGAGTTTTACCTTGGTATGTTTCCTTGTAAGGTGTCGGTCCACTTAAAGTTCTGGATGAACCTCATCTTGTTTTCTTGTGTAGTTCCATCCAGAGAGACAATGAAGCCTGTTTGAGTTTCACACGAAAAAACAAGACAAATAAAACACATAAGCAGCTGGTTCGTTGTAAAGTTTAAGAACCTGAAGACGGTTAATAATAAAATCTAAAGTCAACGTGGTTCTCTGATAGATTTACAGCATTATCATTCATTATGAGTTCTACACAGTTCCACTTTCAAAACTCAAATGTTCAGATTCCTGTCAAGTCTAATTTGGTGTAAAAACATTTACTTTCAATTACACCACACATATATTTATGCAAAATAGGCATTGCACAAAACAGAACTTGCGTGTGTGTGGGGGTGTGTGTGGGGGAGGGGGGGGCAGTCTTTCCTTGTGATAAATGTATGATCTCAGTCAAACAGCTCAAGTCTTCTTCAAAACAACATGAGGTTCAATTTGTAAAACTGTTTCAGTTAAGTACCAGAAAACATTGAAAATGTTTAAAGACTAACTTGTTGATGTCAAGTTGCAACATACAGCAAATACAAGGGCTGAGGGCAAGAAGTGACCCTTGAGAAATCTGAATCCGGCCTTCAACATCCTCATACAAAGATGAAACAATATGAAATAAATGAATGAAAATCAAGGTTTTAGTTGAGGCTTTTGAAGAAATTTACTGTCAGGTCTGTACTGTCTTCACCAGTTTACAAAATAACTACTTTTAGACTAAAACAGGCCTACATACCCCTCTGCCAAGATTTTAAGGGTGAAAGGTTGTGCTGGGAAAAGCAAACACAAGACTATGTGTCAACAAAAACACTAAATGACTGCACTTTATTATCCAAGATCTGATGCCTAAATTAACTGTTGCAAGTGTTCGATGAGTTGACGCGTTCTCCTTGAACACAGTTGGGTTTTCTCCTGATACTCTCATTTCCTCCCACAAACAAAAGACATGCATGTTGGGTTCTAAATTGTCCTCAGGTGTGTGGCTCATTCATTATCATTATGTGTTCCTGTGCTGGACTGGAAACCTATCCAGTACAGGGTGTCTCCATTTCTCACTCAGTGGCTGATAGAGATACACTGCCTGGCCAAAAAAAAAGTAGCTACCAAAAAAAAAGGTCACACACTAATATTTCATTGGACCACCTTTAGCTTTGATTACAGCATGCATTCACTGTGGCATTGTTTTGATAAGCTTCTGCAATGTCACAAGATCAATTTCCATCCTGTGTTGCATTAATTTTTCACCAAGATCTTGCACTGATGACTAGGCACTAGGTATGATGGGTGCATCACTTCACCTGCCTCTCTTCTTACCCCAATGTGCCCATCACTCTGGAACAGGGTAAATCTGGACTCATCAGACCACATGACCTTCTTCCATTGCTCCAGAGTCTAATCTTTATGCTCCCTAGCATATTGAAGCCTTTTTTCCAGTTAGCCTCACTGATTAGTGGTTTTCTAAAGGTTACACAGGTGTTCAGTCCCAATCCCTTGAGTTCCCTTCACATTGTACGTGTGGAAATGCTCTTACTTTCACTATTAAACATAGCCCTGAATGCTATTGTTCTTTTTCTTCGATTTGATTTCACCAAACGTTTAAGTGATTGCCGATCACCATCATTCAGGATTTTTTTCTGGCCACATTTCTTCCTCGAAGACGATGGGTTCCCACTATCCATCCAGTTTTTAATATGGGTTGGACAGTTGTGGCTGAGTGGTTAGAGCAGTTGTCCTCCAATGCAAGCGTTGGGGGTTCGAATCCACCAGCAGTCACATGCCAAAGTGTCCCTGAGCAAGACACTGAACCCCTCATTGCCTCCGATGTGTGTCCCATCGGTGCATGAATGTAATCTAAAGCACTGATTAGTCTCTTTAGAATGATTTGTTCAATTACCTTTGTAGAGATCTAGTAGAGTGCTGCATGAATGGGTAAATGAGGGCACAGATTGTAGTGTAAAGCGCTTTGAGTGTCTTGATAAGATAGAAAGGCGCTATGCAAGTACATCCATGTACAGTCCATTTAACCCAATGTTAGTATTTGCTGCAACCTCCTTAGATGTTTTCTCTGCTTGATGCATGCCATCATGCAATGATTTGACCCTTCTCAAACAGACTAACATCTTTTCCACGATCACGCGATGTGTCTTTCAACATGGTTGTTTAAAAAATGAGAAGCAACTCATTGCACCAGTTGGGATTAAATAACTTGTTGCAAGATGAAAGATAATCGCCCATGCAGTAATTATTCAATAGGAGGCTCGTACCTATTTGCTTAGTTAAATCCAGGTAGCGACATTTTTTTTGGCCAGGCAGTGTAGATAGGAACTCACCGTGACCCAAGAGATTTATATTAGATCCTGACCGATATGGAAATTTTGGCTATCGTCGATGCCAATACTGGTCCGTGACTGTTAATGCCGATGACAGATATATTGGCTGAAGATGTTTTAACTTTGTTCACCCCCAAGAATCTAAGTAAACAGCTACTTTAAACCTGTTTGAACTCTTGAAGTCTTGAAACAGTCTTCCTAACATGTATTCACATCTTTTTTCATCCACCATTCACCATAAAGTTATCAAGTGTATTACAAAAATATAAAATAAACAAAGAAACATCTGCCTGTTCATTGTTTCAATAGACAGTTGATGGTGAAGGTCTAATTAGTATTGACAACAGCAGAGTTTATTTTTCTTTGTAGAGAAGTAAAGATTTCAGACAAACAATGTACAAACAGGATTCCCAAAAAGTTGGGACGCTAAACAAATTGTGAATAAAAACGGAATGCAATGATGTGGATGTGCCAGCATCTAATATTTTATTCAGAATAGAACACAAATCACAGATCAAAAGTTTAAACTGAGAGAATATATCATTTTAAGGGAAAAATCTGTTGTTTCCAAATTTCATGGCATCAACAAATCCCAAAAAAGTTGGGACAAGTCCATTTTTACCACTGTGTGGCATCCCCCCTTCTTCTTACAACACTCAACAGACGTCTGGGGACAGAGGAGACCAGTTTCTCAAGTTTAGAAATAGGAATGCTCTCCCATTCATGTCTAATACAGGCCTCTAATGCCCCTTTTCCATTAGTACCTGTAGTACCGGTACAGCACGGCTCTACTCTACTCGGTACGGTACAGGTTCTGTTTCCATTATGTTTTCAGTACCGGTTCCAGTGGGCGGGGTTCAAATTGACGTCACCACCTCTCACCGGCTGGTGGCGCTGAGATGCAGAAACTGTTTTCAGTACAGGTTGAGAATTGATGTTATTTTGAAGTTGTGTGTATGTATGTATGCATGTATGTGTGCATGTACATGTGTATAAATATATATATACAGGGCCTTCTCAAAAAATTAGCATATTGTGATAAAGGTAATTATTTTCCATAATGTAATGATAAAAAAGAAATTTTCATATATTTAAGATTCATTTCACACCAACTGAAATATTTCAGGTCTTTAATTGTTTTAATACTGATG